AGCCTATACTAATCCTCCAGAATTAACTGGACTCCTTATTTGCTGTGGTCCTATAAAGCCATTATGGACTGGATCTTTTAACAGTAGAGAAAGGAGACCTCAGCCTATACCTACAGGAGGAGTATTGTTTTTATGTCAACCAGTCAGGGGTAGGAAGGACAAGATCAAACAACTACATGAGCAGGTGGAAAAGAAGAAACAGCAACTAGGCCAACAGTCCCCATGGGGAATGTTCAGTCAAGTATGACCTTGGTTTCTCCAGCACACAGGACCCCTATTAGTCCTCTTTATGTATCTCCTAATAGGACCATGCCTGTTAAGTTTCCTGCAAAATCAGATACACAAATTCACCAGTTGGTCAATCAATCACTTCTTCAAGACTACCAGCCCCTGAGTCCTATGACTCATGGCCAAATTCTCCAACTCCAGAGAGATTCTGCCCCCACCCAAAATCCTCCCTGACCATTTTTATAGGAATGAGATTCTTCACCCCCAACTAGTGGAAGAAGCTACAGAAGAAAGACAATTGTCCCCACCCTTGGTATCTATAAAAACAAAAAGGGAAGAATATTGGCATAAGATCTACCATTTTAGATTGGGAATCATTTTATCTAGGGACTCCCAGGCTTCGATTCTGAATGTTCCTGCTAAAAGGTTAACCCCACCCAAGCCCAGAAAGAGAGAGAGAGAGAGAGAGAGAGAGAGAGAGAGAGAGAGAGAGAGAGAGAGAGAGATATCTACATTTCAAAAATAAGAGGCCTCAGTGGAAATGCTAAGGGGGCTTGGGTTTCATCCTGGAAGTATAATGGAGAGTCACTGAAGAATTTTAAAGCAGGTTTTTTACTCACCTTTCTTTTACTATAAAAAAAATACCTGAGATAATCAACTTATAAAAAAAGATATATTTTGGTCCAGTTTTGAGGGTTTCAGTCCATGACTGAACTCTGGTAGCAGGCAGGCAGGATATCAAGGTGGGAATGCACAGTGCATATCAAAACCATTTACCTATGGTGGGGAAGTAAGAGAGGAAAAGATAGGAGTCTCAATGTCCCCTCCAATGGGATGCCCCCTACCCCATGACCTAAAACCCCTCACCATGCTCTGCCTTTTAAATACTCTACCACCTTCCAATAACAACACTGGTTGGTGACCAAGTCTTTAGCACATAGGCCTTTGGGGGACAGATCAAAGCTACAGCAGCAGGCTAAAGATAAAATAGGATTTTGTTGTAGGAAGAGCACCTGGGCAGCAATAATAGAAAGCACAGATTGTGAGATGTGAAGCAACAGGTACGAAGATGAGTGGAAAAGAAAATTTAATAGTCCATGTGATCTTACACAAAGGTCCATGCAGAGTATGGTTCAAGATATGGCATGTTCTCAGGAATGCCCAGGAGTGTGATTTAACAGAGAAAAAAGCTACTGAAGGAGATACAATCAAAGAATCAGGAAGGTAGAATGTTGGCTTGGATTTCCACAGAGATGTTAAATTCAGCACACAGGGGAACAGAACTTCTGTGGAGAAGATGAGGTAGACAGCAGTGAATGCAGGAATATGAACAGATAGTCTAGCACCTAAACTTCACTGGGAGTTGTAATGTGCTCACTGTAACCAAAAGCTTGGTTCTTGTCCCCAATGCCAATTAATACCAACTTAATAATGAGGACATGGTTTTAAAAAAAGAGAAAAAAAAATTATTGCTTTGCAAGCAAAGGAGAAACACAGGGACTCCTGTCCCAGAGGCTGTGATTCTGTCCATCAGGAGAAATAGGGGTATTTTAAAGGAGTTATTCAAAGACAACATTCCAGGTGTGCCCCAACAGAGGGTCCCAGGGTGCCCAGATGGTGTGTTAGGATTCACTTGTTAATTTGAGAGATATTCACTTCCTAGATCCCCTGGCCAACATCTCCTTCCTGTGGAGCATAGGTAACTCCAGGAACCTTGTTCCCGGGCCCCCAGGTTAGAGAGGGGGAAAGGGAGAAGAGAAAAAGGAAATCACGTCCCTTTTTAAAAATAAGCCTCAGAGCTATATTCAAAAGGTAAAGAGGACCACTGTTATAGTAGTGCATTACAACTCTCCATGTCTTACTGTCCTTAGTGTCACTTGCTCCTTAAAATTTGGTCAACTTTACGGACCAAATAACAAACTCCTAGATCTCACTTGAACTTCTCCTATTTCAATAATCACCTTTATTAAAATTACATAAAATTGATTTTGCCAACTCAATACCATCGGATGGAAAAGGAACCTACTGAGTTAACTGTACAAGCCAGGTTAACCAGGTGGCTCAAAATAACACATCACAGGCTTCATATGGAGGACATAATACATATTAGCTGTTCCTAGGATTTATGAAAAAGATGACTAAGCAAAATATGACTAAGAAAAAAGATGACATATAAATATATGTGTGTATGTGTTTGTATGTGTATGAGTCTATCTATCATCTGTATTGAGATCATGGATCTATCTATCTTTCTTTCTATCTATCTATCACCTATCTTGAGATCAGGTCTTACTGTGTTGCCCAGACTGGTCACAACCTCCTGGGCTCAAGTGATCCTCCCAACCTCAGCCTTCAGAGCAGAATGGATGACCTGCAGTTATGTGCCATTGTCTTGTTGACAAAGCAATCTTTTATTAAAGAACATGGGTAGTTAGATTTGTGCATCTATTATTAAACACATTTGTTATATCTTGGACTTAACTTTTGTATGATCAATCAAAAAGGAATGTCTGTCACATAAAATGTGATATAGCTAGTTATACTAGTTACTCATGGCTGAAGATAGCAAACAGCCATTTTCAGGGGCATCAGAGCTAGTTGTCTCCACCACATCCAGCCCCACTTTCCTCTTCTTGAGAATTAGAAGTTACAAACCCACAGAAAATCTTGCCTAGGAACATCAACTCCTGGATCAGCCCAAATCAGTCCTTTCATTCCTCTTTGCCCTTCCCCCAGTGATTATTGTAATACCAGACAGGAAAAGGTGTATCATTTTGGAAAGATTGTTAATGCCTTGTTTGGATGCATAAGACTCTCATGATAATTTAATGATCTTAAGCTCATATAAATTAATTTCTTCTGTTTCTCTTTTACCATTGCTAAGACATCTGAACTTTCTCCATTCCTATTATTATCTGCAATTTTATTCCCACTTGTTTTTAAAATCTAGGGCAAAGTTGTACACTGAGGTCTTTCTCAATAGAACAATTTTAGTCTCTGTTGAGTCTGCTAGGTAGCAGTTATTTATATGTAATAAGCTCTTCCATAACAATATGCAGTGGAAAATTCCTTTTGACAAGCCATAGCAAGCTTAATTGAGTCATAATATATACCATTAAATAACTTCCAATGAAGCAAACAGTTCTTTCCCTAAGGTGGCACATGCTTTTGCAGGGTTTCACCCAGATTATATGGCCTCACATGACTAGAAAAATTATTATCTTCATTTGTAAAAAGAGAGGTATGGAGTTAATATGAGTTAGAAAATTAAATTTTAAAACAGTTTTATTATCTTTCCTCCTCAAATTTAGTAAAACTTATTTTTTTAAAAGCCTTGGCACTGAATTACAGGTCAACTTTTAAATGTTTTGTTTACTCTCTTGCTTAATAATTCCCCAATGAGAATCCCAAATCAATTCTCTTTGAGTTTAAAATTTATTATGTCACATAATAAGTAATATTAATAGAAACTCTTTTGTTAATATAGTATTTCTGATTTTCTCCTACTGACTTTGCAGCCTAAAACCATTCCAAATTCTGACATTACTTTTAATGTTTTCAGGACAGATGCTACTAGAGCTTTCAGCACAAGTAGTAAATTATTATCATACATTAGTTAACTTGTGAACTTTCATCTGAATATTCCTCAGATGCCCATGGGATCTGGGTGAGATTATAGCTCCAACAGTAATGGGCTTCATGCTTACTTCCCCCACGCAGTGTAGCAATAAGGCAGACAAAGGGAGATTAATCTGTAAACTATTGATCTGAACCATATAAATGGATTGAAAATAAATTGTGCTATTTGCTCTATTTGTCCCCAAAGTCAAATTACCTAAACACGTAATCCAAGTAGTACCATTCAATTGCATCAAAGGACTTCTTGGCATCAAACAAAATTGTTGCTATTGGTTCTAATTTTCTTTTTATTCCAGATGTGTTATGTTAGTCTATGCAGATTTTCTATAAGGATCTATCAGATTTGTGATTATTCAGTTATGGAGGAAGTATTCTGGTAGCTATTATTTTCTATCTACTTATACTGTATGAAAGATATTTTTTCACAATACTAAGGAAGTAATATGTAACCTTAAATATAAACCTACATGGATACAGATAATAGGATAAAGAACTATAGACCATCTGGATTCCAATCCACAGATAACATCTGATCCTTCAAAAATTTAGTACAAAACATTTGAATGCATTATATTTATTCATATCTATTTCTGAAACTAGTGGCTGTTTAGTGCACTGAGGGAAGAAAAAACTTAACATGTTGGTAAATAACCTAAACTTTTAAAACTATTTTGAAAGTAACTGAAAGCCACAGAAGGTACATCAGTTACTCCTGGCTTTTCAACTGACATTGAAAGGTTGCTCCAAATTTCCATTCTTCAATTTGGTATCTGCAAAGAAAAGGAGGGCATAAAATATCCCCATGGGAAATTTGTGGGTATTACAATCACAAGATACTCTTCTTAAGAACATACCCTGAGATATTTCAATGGTAGGTTTTTCCCGCAAGTATTGATAAGTCCTATAATGTCATGGGAATGGGTAATTGCATAAAAATAGAAAACTGAACAATGGGGAATCCTTGTAAAGCCAAGTGATAACATTAAAATTTGCTATATTCCATATTCTGGGAGATAGCACAGCGCTGGGAAGAGGGGCTGGACAACAGAAAGTGTTTTAATATGGCTCTATTCTTTTTATTTTTTTGTACAGATATTGAACCCAGAGACACTTAACCATTGAGACACATCCTCAACCATTTTTTATATTTTATTTTGAGACAGGGTCTCGCTGAATTCATGAGTCTGGTTTTGAACTCATGTTCCTATTGCCTCAGCCTCCCAAACTTGCACCACACCCAGCCTTGGTTCTACTCTTTTCTTACCAGCATAACTTTGGCAAAATACAAACAGCACTGAGCTTTAGTTTTCTCATTTACAAAAGTGGGGACAAAATACTCACTATTGGAGTTTTGAAGACCAAAAAAGACAATATATATAAAGAATTTAATCAACCAATGCTTAATAAATGCTGCTTCATTATAATTATTATAAATAAAGCAATATATTTATGTAGTGTATAAATATACAGATGCATTTTAAAGTAATCATGGGAGAGTCTAATCCAATGTTACATAAAATATTCAAATTAACTTTCATAGCATTATTCTAGAAAAATAACGATATTCAACAAAGTATACTGTGAAAATTTACTTTGTAATTAAACTATACAAAAGAAATGCACTTTTTAAACCCATAAGATCATTTTTTTTGTATTTAAAATTTTTTAGGTGTAGTTGGACACAATACTTTTATTTATTTATTTTTCTGTGGTGCTGAGGATCAAACCCAAGGCCTAATATATGCTAGGCAGTGCTCTACTGCTGAGCTACAACCCCAGTGCCGAAATCTATAGGATCTTAAGACAGGATTTAAAATAGGAAAAAAAAAAAAAAAAAGGCACAAACAAAATAATACAAAACAAAAGAAGCACAAAAACTTTTCCATTATCATTAGTCTTTGGTACTGATTCAATGTACTTAATTGGGTCTCAGAGACCTAGTTTTATTTTATAAACATATTGGTTAGATTTTTTAAAAGGTGTTAATAAAATGAAGATACAGAAAAAGTCTTCATAGGAATTCCCAGTTCTTTAAATCTGCCTACATATGCTTCCAAATAAAAAGTAGGTAGTGAGCAGATAGTCTCTAGTTTAAATATACAGAATACAATGAACAATGCAAGAGTATTCCGCTTCAGCAGAATTTCATATTTCTACAATCACAAAGTTTTTTCTTTTTTTTTTTTTTAAAAAAACCTAATTTCCAGACAGATATCTTTAGAAGTATGCTTCATTTGGCTGGGGATGTGGCTCAAGCAGTAGCGCGCTCACCTGGCATGTGTGCGGCCCAGGTTCAATCCTCAGCACCCCATACAAAGATGTTGTGTCAGTTGAAAACTAAAAAATAAATATTAAAAAAAATTCTCTCTCTCTCTCTGTTAAAAAAAAAGAAGTATGCTTCATAATTTTTCTTAATAATTGGTAAAATATGTTTGGACTCATTGAAGTAATTTTTGGAGAAAACACATGATGCAAAAATTGAAGTTAAAACCTTAAATACACAAAAAGAAACATACACAATATTCCCAGGATATATGTAAACAGAGAGAGCCACTTAGTAAATGATATTGGGTTTTGGTAATAGTACAATCCACTCTCATTAGGCATCTCCCTCTCGTGCATTAATATGTGACATCATTTTCTCCTATAACATTTTATAACAGAGTGAAATAAAAAGCCCCTCCAGATTGGAACTGTAAGATAATCAGATTCTGTAGTGCTCATTATGACTGCAATTATGTAACAAAACTCTCCAAATATAGTTCAGTTATTGCAGTTATTAATCATCCTGGTTTTGTTTCAAGTACTTGCTTTATAGCCTGCTGGATAGACTCCATTATTCTAGAAGCTGAATGTCGAAAAGTCAAACGTGTGCATGTGAATCTGCTGTCCTAAAGGCCTTTCAACATAATTTACCCTTTCAATTTGTATTTGTGAATACAAAAAAAAAAAAAAAGGAAGGGAGGGCTAAAGCTGGTGTCAATTGAGTCACTGACCTTTGTAGTAAACAGAAGATAGTCCTTAACAGAAAACAACTTTGCAAATAAGAAACCTATTTTTTCAGAACTCGAAATTGTACTGCTTAAGAAGTTAGTCTCAGAATACCAATCAGTTCTGAGAAAAAAAGAATCTGTACATTTCATAAGGAGGAAACAGTAAGAGTGCTGGCAAATATGCATTTTTTTTAAGAGAGAGTGAGAGAGGAGAGAGAGAGAGAGAGAGAGAATTTTTAATATTTTATTTTTTAGTTCTCGGCGGACACAACATCTTTGTTGGTATGTGGTGCTGAGGATCGAACCCGGGCCGCATGCATGCCAGAGGAGCACGCTACCGCCTGAGCCACATTCCCAGCCCCAAATATGCAGTTTTAAAGGTCCAAAGCACCAAAATCATGGGTAGAATGTAGTTCTAATCATTTTATGCATAAAACCATGTATTCTAATTTAATTATAAAATGCCAAGTAGAAGACAGCAGATTTATTATAGAGACTAAACATCATCTTCATCACCTTAAATTGTTCCTACAGATATATTTCTAGGAAAAGAAAATACACCTGAAAAATTCTCAAGGCTAGATTCTAAATGCTAAAATATTAAATAAATAGGATTCCAAACAGACCAAAGGAAAATAGTTATATCATCATTTAAATATTTGCATGTGGAGAGCGTGGAAACATAAACATAATTATACATCAAAATTGTTTACAAAATTCATGTCACCGTTTTCCTGTACTCCATGATTTTTTTAATTTGGCTACATACATTGGGCCCCAGGCTTTGCCTTTATCTGGGATCACCAAAAGTCCACATTCCTGGCCAGTCGGAGCAAATGTGAAGTCTTGGGAGCAAGTCCTTGCTATTTCCCTAATGTCCACAGGCATGACGTTACTGTAGGAATTTAAAGTTTCATTGATCACATCTTGATTTTCTGCCTTGGAAAGTGTGCATGTCGAGTACACAAGTACCCCTCCAGGACGTAAGGCTTTAATTGCAGACCTACACGCAAAGAAAAATGAGAAGACAAGTTAGGTATATTGAAAGGAAACTAGGGGAAGATTATATACTTGGAACTAACCATACTCTGACTCAGAATGTAATAACTTGAGATGTTTTCTAGCAATATATCTGCTTCTTTGAAATGGCAATCAGATCAATCAAAATGGAAAGGACAGGGCTGGGGATGTGGCTCAAGCGGTAGCACGCTTGCCTGGCATGCGTGCGGACCGGGTTCGATCCTCAGCACCACATACCAACAAAGATATTGTGTCCACCGAGAACTAAAAAATAAATATTAAAAATTCTCTCTCTCTCTCTCTCTCTCTCTCTCTCTCTCCTCTCTCTCCTCTCTCATTCTCTCTTTAAAAAAAAAATGGAAAGGACAAAGGAGTATATAGACTAGTTGGTAGTTTTGTTCTTTTAGGGATAGGAAGAAAGGGGTAAAGCATGGAAAAATTGATTTATCTTTGAGTAGATGGAAGTAAAAGTAAAAACAGACATTAATTGAAAGTGTACATAAAAAAACCATTGATTCCAAACTCCATATATTCAAAGACGGGCAATCAAGCAAAAAGTTGGAGAGTTTTTAATCTCATAAAATGAAATAAACTATTTGGAAAAACCTAAGGCAGCCACTGGGGGGTACTGACTCCCAAACCAAAGAACTATGTATTTATTCTACTTTGAAGGAGCCTCTAGAGTAATAGCCAAGTCACCATAAAGCCTATCAGCAGGAAAAAGGTCCCATCATTAAAATAAGCCTCTAATACTTTCAGTGTTTTGTTACAAAATAAAAATGTATAACCAAGGGTTTCCAGATAATTAAGGATGAGAAATGCTTACCAATGAGTAAAGGAAAGAATGCAAGCACAAGAACAACAACCACAAAATGTTACCTAGGAAGAAGCAGAAAATTCAGGGGACAAAAGAGAAATAAGACCTAATATATATAGAAAGATCAATAAATGTATAGCACCTATTAAATAAAAACAGAATGCCACGAGAAAAGACCAAGACGACAGACCTTGGAAATTAAATGCATGCTTGCTAAAATAGAGAATATTCTGTGGAAGTATTGGGAAGTCAAGGTTGAAATGCTCCATTAGAACAAAAACAGACTGAAAATAGAGAGGATCAATCAAGTAGGTCACAAATTCAAACTGACAGAACCAGAAAGATAATATAAGAAATATGGGGTAGGGGTGTAAAATTCATGAAATTATAAGAGAATTTCTCAGAGATACAAAAAGGAGGAAATAACTCTTCAGACTGAAAGAACTTATCAAGAGGCTGGGACATTATTATTTATCGAGCATCAATTATATGCTATTATTGCTCTAGGATGTCAAATATGTATGGATGAATGAATAAAATAGAACAACTTCAACAACAACAAAAATAGCCTTACCTTCATGAAGGTTATATTCTGGTGATTATGTCAGGGAGACAATATAACAATGTCAGGCGGCTGAATTCCTAACACCTTCTACCTGAGAATTTGACTGTATTTGGAGACAGGTTCTGTACAGAGTTAATTAAGTTAAAGTCAAGTTATTAAGGTGGGCTCTACTCAAATATGTGTGGTGTTCTTACAAGAAAAGGAAATTTAGATACAGAGTTACAAGAGGAAAAATGTAGAAACACAGGGAAAAGAAGCTATCTAGAAGCTATGGAGAAAGAACTCAAACTAATTCTGCTAACATCTTTATCTAAACTTCTAGCCTACAGAACTGTGATTGTTTAAGTCACTCAATGTAGTACTTCATTAAGGCAATAAAAGCAAACTTTATACAAAGTTTATACACACATAAATATACAAACACAAAAATATAGGGTATCTTATATTTTATTTAGTATGCAATTGAGCAATAGGCATTATGTAAACAATTAAAGCAGGATAAAAGGATTAGGGGTGCCTGGATAGTGAGGGAATTGGACGGTCAGATAGGATGTCCCTTCAGAATGTGACATTTGAACAAAGACTGGGGAGGTAAGGGAGTGGATCAAGCAGATATCAAAAGGGAAGACCACTGTACACCAGAGAAATAAGGAATAAAAAGAACCTGAAATATGGTTATGAAAAGAGGAAGCCATCTGTGGCTGGGACAAGATGAGCTAGGAAGTGGTGTGAGATAAGATCAGAGTGAAGAGAGGGCGAATACTGTGGAATACTGCAAAAACTTTAACTATGTAATGAATAAAAAGCAATCGCATTTATGACATATCATTCTTACATTTCAAAACTTCAAGAATAAAAAGAGGATATTAAATGCTTCTGGAAAAAAAATAGATGCCCATTAAAATGGATCATTTAGGGGTCCAGGAATAAGACTGGTATCAGTGGAAGAGTACGTTTCAAATCCAGAGAAAAAGCAATTTAAAGTGAATTCCATTTGCAGCCAACTCATCAAATAAATATGAAGAATACAGGGATATCTGCTAACTCAGAAATTTTACCTACAGCAAAATGAGGAGGTAAATCAAGAAAGAGGAGGAATGTGATCCAGAAAAAAAAAAATAAAAAAAAAAGAACCCAACATAGGATAGAAAGGAAGGAAATGAAATATCTAAAAGAGAGCTATGTGAGAGGGCTGGAAGGTAACGACTCCAGACCAGAAGGAACAGAGTTTTTTAGAAAGAAAGGAGAGGAGCATAAGAAAATAGATGAAATGATTGAGAATATAAAAAATCGAAGATTTGGTACACAAATCTGTAGAGATTGACTGATTTTCTCATCTAATTTGGTTCTAGAAAAATTCTCCTTTCAGTGGTACTCCAATTATAATATTAAATGAATAGAGAAGGAAACAGTTTGAAGACATTACTCCATCCTATAGTGAACAGTTTGTAGAATTAGACAACATATACCATATTTAGAGTCACTCTATAGAATGATACTCATAATTCAATACAGATTATAAAGTCACAGAAAGAATACTAGCAATGTTGACAACATGAAAATAAAAGTAACACCGTAAGGTACTGGAAAGTGCAAGGTAGAGAAATATGGAGTGGGGGGCATGTAAATATTCTTACTTTACAAAAACAGAAGCCAAAAGACATTGCCTCTATTGTTTTAAAACAGAGAATAAAGGTTCAAGTGTACTAAAGATAAACTTTCCACTACAATAGAACTAGAAATGTAGTTCTAAGTATATAGAGCTGACTGAGGGAGAAATGGATTATAGAATGAGAACACACAATACAGGGTGGTATATGTAAAATAATTCCTAGCAAGAGGTCTGCAGTCAACATCTACAGTTGATAAAGGATAAACATGTTATTTACAGATTTAGCATGATCTAGAGAATAAAATTAAGATCAGAAATAATTAGTTGTTTTTGAGTAGTAAGACTGTAGGAAAAGAGGGAGTGGCAGGGAAAAATTCTCTTTAACCAGATGTTCATTTATATCTTTATATTTTTACCCATGGGATTTATTTCTATAATAATAAAAATGGAAGGGGAGATCTGACAGTAGGATAAATATCAGCCTTTTCCCAGAGAGGTCAGTTATTTTATTTTGTTGTAATTTTGACTGTTAGGGATAACCTCTCTGAAGAACATATTCCCTAAGATTTCATATAATCAAAATTTTATGGTATCCAGAATTTCCATGTATTCACTTATTGATTTAAATATGTGGGAGGTACTGCCATGGAAAGCTTATCTATCAGTGTTTGTTGTCGGTCTCTAAAAATAAATTTTAATATGTATCTTCTTATTTCTTACTATCCTCTAAATATTAGTTCATGGAAACAAAAAAGGCTCTTATTTATATGTTAAGGATGTGAACTCTCAAAAATGTCATGTTACATGAAAGAAGGCATTTGCAGATATGACTAAATGAGGAATCCTATGTTGGGGAGATTATTCTGGATTATCTGAGTGGACCCAATGTAATCACAAAGGCTCTTATAAATGAGAGAGAGAAGGGTTCAAAAGAGATGTGATGATGTAAGTTAAGGATGGAACTACAAGATTTCTGGCCAAAGAGAAAGAGTGAAGGTATATGAGCTATTTCTAAAAGCAAACAAACAAAACAACCACCTGCCTTTCCCAAAGGGATTCTTCTCTAGAACTTCCAGGAGGAATTAAGCTCTGAAAGCACCTGGATTTTAGTCCACAAATACCCATTTTAAAATTCTGAACTCTAGAAGTGTAAAGGCAATAAATTTGCATTTTTAAGCCACTAAATGTGTGGTATTTGTTACATCAGCAACAGGAAACAAAAATGGTGATGGCTACTTTTTTGTTTGTATTACAGTAAGGCATATGTGGACTTTGCTAAAATTGTGTTAGTTACAAATATACTCATTTTGAATATTTTCTACTGACTAACAGCAATGGTTCTAAGATTTTTTTAAAAAATTTTACTCTGCTGTACAAGAGATCTATATTTTATTTGAAGGCAGGTATCTTTAAACTACCATTAAAAGGATTTATTTTGGTCTTAGTTCCATGGTTAGCAAAGCCAGTGCTTAATCAAGTAAGTATGATTTTTTTTCTTCTCATTAAAGTTGCATAGAAGTACATAAAAGCTTCATCATTTACAAACAATATGTTCCTGGCTTGATGCAAATTTAAATTAATTTCTATAATGTTGCCAGTGTTGGCTGATTCTTCTGCTTTGTTTTCATTCCAACATTCATAATTTATCTTTCTAAAATTAGGTTGGTATAACTTAACTGCTCACATTAATTTCTAAGCAACAAAATTATGTGTAGAAATACAAAGGCTTTCTTTTTTTTTCCCTTCTTTTTTTTTTTTAAACAAATTGGGCTAATCTCAGAATCCTAAGGTAAAATGATAGTAATTCCTATCAAATGATTGTTGCTATTTATTATAGCTGGTTGTTGTTTAAATACTGTTTTATCTTTTTGCATCTAATAAGTTATGGATTTCAGAAGTACTATACGTTTGTATTTAAAGATCAAGAACAGCAGACAACTGGAAAAACTCAATTCCAGGGTTCAGAGCTAAGCTTCTTCTACTAAGAAT